GCTTCTAGTACGTGGCCCTGCTGCATCTTCATAGTGGGTGTCGGTTTGCTTCATGTATGGCTCAGAGGGGTTTGAAGTGGGTAGTGATGCAGCTGCAGTGCAGCTTCTGGTCCATGGTCGTGTCTCATTTTCTGAATGGGTGGGAGTCTGTTTTCTATATGGAAGTGTGGTGGTGGCATCTTGTGTGGCTCTCATGGGTGTGGGTCTGGTGTCCTTCTTCATGTTAGGTACTCGTCTGTTCATGAGGGCGGGTTTCCAAATGGCTGGAAGGCGGGAGGTGTCATCTCGTTTGTTCATGCTGTGTGGGCGTTTTTCTATCTCTATGGCTTCTCTGATTATTCTGCTGTTGAAGTGTTCGGTTTTGGCGATAGTTCTGGTATTTTTAAAATCAATTTCATGTCCTGTGGCTTTGAGGTGTTGGACCAGGGAAGAGGTCGTTTCTTCTTTTTTGATTGAGTTCTTATGTTCTTCAATGCGTGCACTTATTCTTCTGTTAGTTTGTCCAATGTATGTGGTAGGGCAGGCAGTGCAGGGGATTTCGTATACTCCTTGGTTTTCTAATTCGATTTTGTCTTTGGGGTTTCTTAGGATGGTGGATATTTTTCTGTTTGTGCAGAATGCTGTTTTGATGTTGTGTTTTTGGAGGATCTTGCTAATTTTGTCTGTAGTGCCTTTTATATATGGGAGGAGGGCTTTGCCGTTTTCTTGTTCTCTGTCTTGGATTTTGGTTGGGGTTTCTTTTTGGATTAGGTGGGTAATCTTCTTTCTTTGGAATCCATTGGCTGTAAGTACGTTGGTGAGAGTGTGTAGTTCGGTTTTTTGGTGTTGTTCATCGGCTAAGCATTTTGTTCTGGAGATGAGTGTCTTGGCTACGGAATTGATCTGTGCTGGGTGGTGGTGTGAGAGTGCATGTAGATAGCGGTTAGTATGTGTTTTCTTCTGGTAGATGGTGTGTCCTAGGGAGCCATTGGATCTTTTGTATACCAAGACATCTAGGAAGGGAAGTTGATTGTTGGCTTCTGTTTCCATGGTGAATTGTATTTTGGGGTGTAGGCTGTTGAGGTATGTGAGGAAGTTGTTCAGTTTTTCTTTCCCGTGTGGCCAGATTATGAAGGTGTCATCTACGTATCTGAGCCAGAGTTTGGGTTTGTGGTCGTATTTTTCTAGAGCTTGTGTTTCAAAGTGTTCCATGTAGAGGTTTGCGATGACAGGTGAGAGGGGTGATCCCATGGGTGCTCCTTCTATTTGTTTGTATTTTTGTCCATTGTAGGTGAAGTATGTATTGGATAGGCAGTGGTTGGTTAGATCTAGGATGTGCTTGGGGGGGTTGTATTTGTTTTGGATGGCTGTCAAGGCTTCTTTTATTGGCACTTGGGTGAAGAGGGATATGACATCGAAGCTTACTAGTAGGTCGCTAGGTTGTAAGTTTTGTTTCTTTATGATCTCGATGAACTGGAATGAGTTTCTTACGTGTGAGTTGATGGATTCTGCATAGGGTTGTAGTTGTTTGGCGAGGAATTTGGCCAGGTTTTGTAGAGGTGAGCCTATGGAGCTGACTATTGGTCTGAGTGGGGTTCCTTCTTTGTGTATTTTGGGGAGACCATAAAGCTTGGGGCATCTGGATGATTTTTCTCTGGGTATGATTCCTTGCTGGATTTCTTCACTGATGGGGGAGGCTTTTATTTTGGATTTGGTAGTTTTTTCTAGGTAGGTGGTGGGGTCTGTCTTTAGGGGTTTGTATGTGGGGTCTTGGAGTAGGTTGGTTAGCTTGGTTTGGTAGTCAGATGTGTTCATAACCACTGTCGCGTTGCCCTTGTCTGCTGGTAGGATTATTATGCTGGTGTCTTCTTTCAGGTTAAGTAGTGCAGTTTGTTCTTCTTTGGATAAGTTGCTTTTGGGTGGTTTGTTAGTGCAGAGGATGTTGGTGATTTCGAGTCTGATTTTGTTAGCATCATCAGGGTTGGTTTTGGTCAGGCTGGTTTCAACTCCGCATATGATGGTTTCTGTGGGGATGTGTTTGGGAGCGACAGCAAAGTTGAATCCTTTTGAAAGGACCTTGGTTTCAGCTTCAGTGAGGATCTTGTCTGAGATGTTGTGCAATGTTTGTTTCATGTGTGGCTGTGGGGGAGGGGGAGTTGGTTTCTGGCATTGTTGTAGTTTCCTGAGTTTGTTGGTGTGTGTGTCTGTCTTGAGGGTGGTCTGTGTTTCGGCTCTCCAACGTTGAGGGTGGTCTGTGTTTCGGCTCTCCAACGTTGCCTAGATACTTCGAATCTTACGCGGGAGAAAACCCGAACAACCAAAGATCCATATATATATATATATATATATATATATATATTCATTTCAGAAAACATATTACCCGTTTTTCCTTTGGGAGCGTCTCTGGCAAGCAGGTGAGGATGAACAGGAAATCAGCCACAGCAAAGATGGTGGCAAAGATGGCGGCTCTTGTGTAGAAGACTTGGTCCTTCTCCGTCTCCAGAGCAAGGAAGGCACCCAGCATTGGCCCAAGGGTGAAGCCCAGGGAGAAAGCCAGCCCAATCATTGCCTGGAGGGAGGATTCAACAAATGTCCTTTGGCTAACATGCCTCTTTTAAACAAGCTTCCAGAGCAAGAAACCCTGACCATAATCCCGTGGTTTCTCCTGAATGGGCCCCGTTGTTCATAAATATTTTCAGGAACACAAAAAATGTTTTTTTAAAAAAAATGTGGGTGCGTTTTTCTTTCTTTCTGTCACGTTCAGCAAGCTCCTCCACTGATTCAGAGAATTATTAATCATGCACTAAATAATTATTAATAATTATGTAATAGTTATATTAATATAATTAATGCAATATATAATTAATTATAATTGTTATAATTACATTGCATTAATTATTAATATAATACTGGTGCTATATAATTAATGCTGTATTTTAATTATATTAATTATATGATAATTATTAATAATCCACTAAATCCTGAACACAAACTGTTTCAACTTCTTCCCTCAAGCTGGCGTTACGGGTCACTGCAGGCCGAAACAACTAGACCCAAGACAAGAAAACCAGAACTGCAGTGATTCACTTAACAATATCATCATCCTCTTTTAATGACCCCTTTTAATAATCCCTTGCGGGGTGGAATCTGGGCTGGATTTAGCACGGTGTTTTAATGGCCAGATGCCTTTCCTGTTGCCAATGCGGAGTTTTGTTCTGCAGGTACATTCTCATTGTGCCCCAAAAGAGAAATATCTGCCTCTAACTAGGATCGAATTCACCGGTTCTGTGTTTGATGCTGTGTGGTCCACCTGCCCACCCGGGCTCTTACCTGTCATTTTATTTCCTGCTTTTTCAACCTCAGCTGCTTTGTGCGGCACAGCTGAGGTTGAAAAAGCAGTGAAAAAAGAGGCATTTCAAAGGCTGCGCACCTGCGCGCGGTACTTTTCAGCTGTCCGGGTGGCACAGCTGATGGGTTTTTTTACACGCGTGCGCAGCAAGACATGCATGCGCAGCAAAACGTAGTCACCGCACCAGTTGTAACACTGGTTGAATCTCACCCCTGATTTTAATGTACGGTTAGTTGCTCCGAGTGGGAAAACAAGAATGGGTGGTTATATGCAGGCAGTCCTCGACTTACGACAGTCCATTTAGCGACCATTCAAAGTTACCACGGTACTGAAACAAGGGACGTATACAACCGTTCCTCACACTTAGATGACCCTTGCGGCATCTGTAGGGTCAGCTATCAAAATTCAGACCCTTTTGCAACCGACTCCTCTTTATGACGGTGGGGGGAGGAAACCAAGTGATTCGTTTTGGAGACCTTCTAACAAGCAGTCGAGGGGGGAGTGGGAGAGGAAGCCAGACTCACTTAATGACAGTGAGTGGTTACTGACTTAACAACAGCAGCGACCCCCCTCAACAATGGCAGCCAGAACAATCGTACAACGGGGTGAATCTCCTTTTAACCGAGCTTAGGAACAGAAACTTTGGGGTTGAATTGTGATCATACATCGAGGACTACCGATAAGATGGTTGAGAGGCTAAGTCGCCGTCCCTACTAAGGTAGCAACTGCATCGGAGAAGGACACTTTGTTTCTGAAATGGTATATTTCCTGCCTGAGCGGGAGGGTGGGGTTGGACTAGAAGACCTCTGAGGTCCCTTGCAGCTCTTGAGATTCCCTTAGAAACAAGAAGGACTCACCATGCCTCTGCTCCGAGCTTTCGGGCACGGCAGGTCCGCTATGACGGCCGTGCAAAGGCTGACGTTCCCTTTACTGATCCCGCCAAGGATCCTGGAGCAAAGGAAGAGCTCGAAACTCCCAGAAATGGCCCAGAGAGAATAGGAGGCCACCAGGCCGAGCTGCAAGTGGGTGGGGGGGAGAGAGATTGAGAGAGAGAGAGAGAGAGATTTTCGCCTCCTCAGACAAGAGTTATGCTGATGTTGGGAGCGGCTCCTTGGTTTCTTTCCCTAGGAGGAAAACGGCTCCAATACGTACAGGGAATCCTTGCCGTGGTTAGAAGGCAGGATTGAAGGGCTAACTCTGCCCATTGCCAGTAGTTTGATCCTGACCGGCTCAAGGTGGACTTAGCCTTCCGTCCTTCCGATGTCAGTCAAATGAGGACCCAGATTGTTGGGGAGGGGGGCAAGAGGCTGACTTTGCAAACCGCTTAGAGAGGGCTGTATAAGTCTATTGCTACTCCCTTCCTTCCTTTTCCTTCCTTTTCATTTCCTTCCTTCCTACCTTGTTGGCGCAGTACTTAGAATGCAGCATTGCAGGCTAACTCTGCCGACTGTCAGCAGTTTGATCCTGACCGGCTCAAGGTTGACCCTTCCTTCCTTTCTTCCTTCTTTCCTTCCTTCCTTCCTTCCTTCCT